GACCTTGATGCACGTCTTTTTCTTTTTTTCGGATCAAGTTCGAAATGGCCGACTGGCGGCCATTTTGTTAAAGAATTCAGTTCTGGATCCGTATCCAAGACATGTCTGGATTGATCAAGTTCAAACTTCACACACACATGGTACATCATGTCACAAATAGATATGTGCATTTGTTTCATGATCTGCTTAACAATAGCGGAATGATGGCCATTTTAAGGCCGAAAATGCATCAAAATCACATATTTTCACAATTCCGGAACCGGATCTCAGTCATGCATGGATGGATTTTGTTCAGATTTAGCACAATGTGTTGTACATATGCAGGTGCATTTCGGTCATGATCTGCTTTGAATGTATATGTCACTCAAATATGAACGGAACGGGGACGTGTCATTGACAATGACTTGTTGTTATTATTTTGTAGCGTTGTCATTACCAGTGGATTTGCTGCCTCTAAAAAAGCGGAAAAATTTGGAGAAAAATCTACAGTGAACGGAATAGTTTCAAAGTCACTGGCCCGTGAATCTGAATAATTTAAAATGTCTTTCTGGAAATTGTTTCCACAATCTCATATGGCAAACTAAGAAAGAAACTAGTTTTAATCCATCAAATATTTATTGTATTGAACTCAATTACATTGCGAGTGAATGAGTGACTGATGTGTGGCGTGGAGTAGTAACAGTGATCGCCCGAGCGAACGTTACACCGTGACTGGTAGTGGTACGCCGTATCGGTATCCACTGCGGCTTGCACTACACTATGCTAGATCGCCGCCGTGGTCCAGCTGGATCGACTGTGCGTAGGGATGCGTACCCGGGGTACATGTACGTAGTTGCTTCGTTACCCCATCCCACTAGTGTTTTCAAACAATCAAGGTAGATAATGGAAACTGGACGGATTCTGTGTAATAGTTATTTTAAATTCCACGGGAGGGCGGGGATTTGACGAATACTTTGAAGTCAAACGTAGCGTAGCGGGCAAACGAACATGACCGGAAAGCTAGTGGGTAGAAGGGAAAACCAGCATTGATTTTAATCTCACTGTATAAATAAACAGATACACACTTGAAAACACGGATACTTTCATTTATTTATACAAACTGTGCCCGGACTGTTACATTTACCGGGAGTCGACGCCGAGGAAATACAAGTCACGTCGGTCTTTCGTCGATCTCGTTTCGCAAATTTTGTAGTACAAACACAGAACAAATACATCTCTCTCTACTCGTAGACATACATTGTACCCCCATTTCGTTTATCGCATTTGCTTGGATAAATCATCCTCGGTTAACCTCACTTCATCAACACGTTAGTGCGAACTAATCAAGAGGCCACCAGGACAGGGGCATCAGTCGCGGAATCTAGACGCGCGTACTAGATAAGATGGAACACTTCGACCGAACGCGCGTTAGCGTACAGAGCAGACGACGATGCCTTCAAAATATTGTCCGATTTCGATATTGAAATCCGCTGTTATTGGTTATGGACCGTTTTATTTGATGCCGAATTTGGTATTAAATACTTGTTATCTAACAATTTCTCCTCTTTTTCAATAGTTTCTTCTTTATTCGTTTTCGAAATCAACATTGTATTCATATCCATGGGACAGGGCATTGATGCTCAATAATGTAATACATTATCGTGAATAATCTGCTGCAATGACGTCATAAAATCCACTGGTATTGATAATGATATAATATAATATGGGATATTTCTGTGTATGAGATACGTGCGCGCGCACGGAGCGTTCCGAGTCCTCTACGCCACTATCGTTGGTTGACACATCCTTGTTAGAAGACATCGTACCTAGCTTGTTTTGTTTTTTTTTGTAATTCAGTTTAAGTTGCATACTTAATTTCAAATTCATTTATTTTATTGTGTGCGAGATGTGTATAAATGCGTGTGCATTATTACACTGCTATTGCGAGCTTCACTTTGTAGAAACGTTTTACATTTTAGAGTAAAAGGGTAATTATGTATACTAAGCGAAAATGAGTTAGTCGTTGCTGTTTGTTGTTGCTTTATGGTCGTCATATGGTAGTGAATATATCGTATCTTATTACATTTAGTTCCCATAATTGCTTAGGTTGAAATCAGCCAATGTAAGTTAGTTCAGTTCTGCGCATGGCTGTTATGACTTCTACTATTTTCACCCTTACCAGGACTTTGACAACAAGGGAGCTAGTTCTGGCAATACCACACCAACGTCAATGGATTTGTTCATTGAGAAGACGGAACTTGAACATGCGAAGCAGAAACTAACAGACAAAGCACACAAGTTGGAAAGCGACTCTTCCAAGTACAAAATCAAAAACGAAGAAATGGGCGCCAAAATAGAACTTGTGAGTACATGAATTAAAGTTCAAATGTTTTATTAGAGAAAAAATCTACTTAAACAAAAATGAATCTTCAACATCATGTAACATTGTGTGCGGCCTTCTCTAAATCCAATATTGTGTCTAGACGCCGGCCTTCTCTGAATCCAATATGGCGCTGGGGCATTCATTAGTATTGTTATAAATCACCACCATCAGAATTAAACAAATATTGGTAAATTTGGAGCGTTTTGATGAAAAAAATCTGCTTGCGAATAAAGGTTTACATTTTCGTGTGATAATATAAAGCTATGACGTCATAAAAACCTCTAATTCTGATAGCAGTAATTTATAACCATGTATAAAACTTGCTAAAAATAGAAGTGACGTAATCATAGAACGAAATACTGTGGGGCGAAATCACAAATCGAATTTGGACAAGGTGACGTTTTCAACCACAATTGTGTCACGTTACTGTGACTTTTCAGTGATTTGTTGTGAATCCCAAGGAATATTATTTCTGAACAATGCTCTTGGAAATTTGTTTACCGCCACAATAGTCATAATACCCTTGTCGCTAGTTTTCGTTTACTCATTTGTTTGTCCGAATCGAACACCTTCATGAATAATTAATCATATGATGTAATGTTATTTTGTACTCAGAGCCAATATGATGGTGTTTTCTTAAAAATAGCTATTTTTGTATATTTGGCATTTTTTTTTGCAAGATACCATACACAGTCTATTGTATCAATCATTAATTAGTTCACGGTACCTGTACATTCATCACCCTGACACTCAATTGACCGGGAAGTAAATTAGGAGCGACATCTGGGGCACGTAGCAAGACATTTGTACGCACCTATGGGCTATGAATCATACCTCTGAGTATGGCCTATTATCAGTTTATACTGTGATAATAAATCACCCGTGTACAACACGCAATTCGGTGTAATAAATACATACAACACGTAATTCGTAATAATAGATAAATGCGTATAAATGAATCTCTCTTGTACAACACACAATTCGTTTCCCATAATTCGACTCCTGGTGACAAACCATACAACTGAAATTCGTTTACTGTGAATTAACTGTTTACTCCAATGAAAATTGGCAGCAAACTGAAGTATTCATTCAATAAAATAAAGAAAACTAAATAAAGAAAAGTGTGTGCGCGCTTCGACTATTAATAATCAATTATGTTTAGCTTATCAGATGAACAATTGTCCGTCGGCGTCTGGTGTCGTCCGTCTTCGGTTGTCCGTGTCAACTTTTTATTTTTTCGACTTATTCTTGAAAACTACAATTCTTATGGCTTTGATATTTGGTATATATGTACCTTGGGCGGACCTCTCGTAGATTTATTCATTTCGTGATGATATCTTCAATTTTGATGAATATTTGTGTCATTTTTGGTAAAAAGTGATATGTTTCACTCCTTGTTAAAAACCACTAATCGGATTCCTCTGATATTATACATATAGAAACTACAGGTTGACCTCTCTCAGATTTGTTTATTTCGTAAAGATATCTTCAATTTTCTAATTTTGATGAATATTGTTGTCATTTTTAGTAAAAAGTGACATTTTCAACTTTTTGATTGCTTTGATACTATACATATAGATACCCCGGGTAGAACTGTCTCATATTTGTTCATTTTGTAATGATATCTTCAATTCTCTAATTTTGATGAATATTTTTGTCATTTTTGGTAAAAAGTGATATTTTCGACTTTTTGTTAAAAACCGCAAGTCCGATTGCTTTGATAATATACACAGGTAAACCTCTCTCAGATGTGTTCCTTTTTCTAATGATATCTTCAGTTCTTTAATTGAAATATGCATTGCTAACAGTGGAGCTATCTCAGCCGAGAGCCTGCTTGTTTGTTGTATTTTGCGATGTATCATACCCTTTTGTTTTTTTCTCAAGATACAAGACATACAAATGCTCAGTAATAATCTGTTATCTATATTGCTTCGTAACAATTTTTTCAAGATATAAGTAAACCTAATTTCACTGTAATTTTCCGCAGTTGACAGCCCAGAACGAAGAGCTCAGGGCGTCACGGGATATCCTGACCGAAGAGAGGGCGCTGCTGCACTCGAAACTGACCGAGGCACAGCAAGAACAATCCGAAATGGAGGTGGCCTTAAAAAAAGATCGCGTGATGTGGGAAAAGGAGCGAGCCACCATTAAGTTCGATTTTGAGAACGAGCGAAAAAGACGGGAAAACGAAATGAAAAAAGCCAAAGACGAAATCGAGAGACTTCGGCGGGAAAAATCGCAGTCGGAATTCGGTCATAAACATTATGAAGCGAAATTGAAAGAATTCGAAAGGAAAGCAAAAGAACTGCACGAAATGTTAAAGAAAAAGGAGGAGGCGTTTGCAAGAGACAAGGCGAAAATCATAGAAGAACAATCGCGTCATTTTCAGTCCAAGACTCGTGATTTACAAGTAGAAAACAACGATTTGAGAACAACGTTACAGAGAAAAGAAGACGAGATACAACGGAAAGTACGCGAATTGCAGTTAAAAATAGACGAGCATAGGCACGAAACTGAACAGCTCAGAAATAAATTGAAAAACACTGAAAAAGACCAACAAGAGTTACAAAGACGAACACAGGAGTTGGAAGACACTTGGACAAAAGAAAAAGAGGCGCTTACGAAATCGGAGGAGATGACTGAAAAATCGAATTCCCAGACAGACTCGGACGAGGGAAACACCCTTGCGACTGAGAAACAGCAGCTGCAGAACAAACTTCTTGCGAATGAAAATGAGTGGAGGCAAGAGAGAGCACAACTTGCCGAGGTGATGGAGAAACTTAAAACGAGTCTTCGAGCGCGGGAAGAATCATGGCGCGTGGAGAGAACCAACTTGCTGGAGGAGTCACGTACTCTACAAAGCGCCCTCAATAAAAAGGACGAACTAGTTCGTGCTGAAAAGGAAAAGTTTTCAATTGAAACCCAGCAGCTGAGACGAGATCTGGAGACGCGCTGTGCATCATGGGAGAATGAACGGAGGGAGTTCTTGGCTCATATTGCCCAACAAGCATCAAACAGTGATCGATGCCGGGAGGAAACGCTCAGCGAAGAAAACGTTAAACTTCTTACACAGGTCAGTGGTTTATAAGTTATTTTAATACTGTCAGACCGACACTGTAATGAGCTATTCGATTTCTTAAAACGCAAATGCTAAGTATTATGTGTTGGTTTTCATTACAGTTTTCGTAATTTTTCCTGTGCTTAACTTTTCGTAATTATGTTTTATGAACGTCACTTTATTGGCGTTTTTTGACAGCGTGCGGTCGTTAAAATAGAACGCCAATGATTTTATCGTCAATCATAAAAAAACTTATTGTTTCATCCGATGTTATTGCGTCTCAGCTGTGCTGGTTTTGGAACTTCTAAAACTTCGTGATGTTGTCGCTTGTTGAGCGGCATTAAATTCTCTGTGTTGACATTTGTCTTTTTAGTCACGTGTACCCTCTGTCGTAATTTACAAGTTAAACGCGATTTAAATATTTTTTGTTTACTTAAGTACATTTCTGTTCTTGGTTCTGAAGACACTACTGCGGGAAAATGCCAAACACTCGTTTATAATTAAGTTAATTTCCCAAATAATAAAATATTATCGATGTTAAAATGTACAGACGATCGTCCGTCTGTCCGTCCAGCTTAGTTACAGTTTCGCTCAACTTTTCGTATCATCAGACTGGACAAGTTTCATTTCAAAGTCGATTAAAATACCTTCCATCGCAACGAGACAAAAATAAATATGTTGCTTTGGTGAACAATGTAAACAAGGAATCTTGACGATTTAGAAGTTATGGAGGAACGGTTACTGAATCACCGTGCATAGTATAATATTGATTGCAAATGTCGAGGTGTACAGCGGCAAACTCACCATTGCTTCTGAATTAATAAAACAAAAAAACAACAACAAAAGACATTTTTATTAACAGCTGACAGCTGATGCCAATTTATCTTCCCAGTGACTTTTCATGTGATGCATATCAAAGGTTGTGACCTCATTTCACCCTTTCCGCTCACTTAAATACAAGAGTTTTCCCCCGTTCGCAAATAACAACACAAACAATGCCCGTCTTATTCAACAACTCTTTTAAGTGGTTTGTTGAGAGTTGAGAAAACCGAGAGTGCGGCGAATTTTATACACACTTGTATTTTTAAGTAGCTACGTTCAGTTGAGCATTTCAACACAAGAGTAGCCCGTGGGTAAACAAAATACAGGCAGGTGTAGAGTAGCTGCTGATAAAATAACAGCTCTAACGTAGCACGCATCATTAAGACCTGCATAGCTGCATAAATATGCACATATCCCTCTTTTACTTTCAACATTCTGTTGTTGGTCGACTGATTTTCACAGACCTGGATCAAATTTATTCGCCCTTATTGGCGTAATTGTACTTCAAGAAAACTTGGAGGTCGGAATTAAAATAGCATCCTTAATAAACTTGATAAATTAAAACTTTTATTTTGTTGGTATAGTCATCACGTAGCGTTTGGGTTATGTGTAATCAAATAATATATGTATACGTATCACGGGAATACAGCGTGATATGACGTCTGTGAAGCTATAGTCATTTACTCTGCAAATTAAAATTGAAGTCGCATGCGTTAACAGAATTCTCATCGCTGAGATGAGCTTTGTAATCCGATAAGTTTGCTCCACTTTTATTGTTCGTCGTATGCAAGAATCCCTTTTCTCAACGAGATTCCTACGCGATAATCAGCCAAGCGACCATTTTGCTAAATAAGTCTCACTACTCAAATATTTCTACTTCTTATTATGTTTACCTTAGAAAACTAAACTTTTTGTTCTTCAAGTTGGTGCAAGCATGCGTAAATATGCGATTTCTCGTTGCAAGCCGCTTTGGTGTGCTGACACTCTTCTACAGATGAAAACAAATGATGTCGGTAATTTCGCAACGATTTCGTTCTCGTTCTTTGTATTTGCAGTTTCCAACTATTTATCAAATTGAACTAATTGACTGTTGGTCCTAAAACAGCATTCATTATCTATCAATGTGAAATGGACAAGTTAGCTTTATAAACAGGTCAAGAACAAAGAGTTTATTTTAGTTTATTTTTTATCTACCATGACTTGATATATAATGTTACTATACTAACGCCACATTTATTGTGAAATACTCTTTGTGTAAGTTGTTTAAGTTGAGTTATGCCGTCAACGATTGTATCTTAAAACCACCCCAACACCAAATATGGACACCATTTATATACACATTAAGGTTTGCCAATTGGGTGGGTGTCTGGAGGATTTTGTGAAAACAATCGAGAAAAAAAATATGAGCTTAGAATGAAAAATGTTTTCGAAAATTTAAGAAAAAATTGCAATGTATGTTAACGAACTAAAAAAGTAACATAAATGTTCAGATCCAGCAAAGCAAGTTTATTCTCACAAGAACTGTTTTTATTTGATTATATGAGCAGAGATATTTTGTTTAGTTGGTCTACCAGGCCTGTGTGTTGAGGCAATTCACATATTTGATATGGCATGCGTAGAATGTTCCAGCAAACTAGTGTTCATAGATGGAAATGCCCGCATTCGTAATTAGTGCATGAGCCAGCATACGACATTGCTTGTGTACCCGCCCAAGTCACCATGCTGGCGTCACCCGTATTTTAATTCTGTAAAAGATATGTACCCACGTTTACGACCTTCCATTAATTGCATCACCACCAATAATCACTTGATGAATAAAGAATATATATATCGTATATAACAACAAAAGTCGCCATAATTGGCGTTGATGTGCTTGATAGAGACAAAATTTATTATTTGTTATTCAGTCACAATATTAAATTACTGTATTCAAAATTTACGTTCAAAATGAATGTCGTCGTCCGTCGGCGGCGCCCGCGTCAACTTAAAAAGTTATATTTTTGACTACTCGTTGAAAATAGCAAGTCCGATTGCTTTGATATTATACATATAGGTACTTCAGGTGAATCTCTCTCAGATTTGTTCATTTCGTGATGATATTTTCAATTCTCTAATTTTGACAAATATATATATATATATATATATATATATATATATATATATATATATATATATATATATATATATATATATATATATATATATATATATATATATATATATATATATATATAACTCTATATATATATATAAATAACTCTGTGTAATGTACAAACCGTGTCTGAAAAACATGTCGTGTAAGAAAACA